AAATCAAGAGTCAGATGCTCAAGCAACTGAGCCACCCAGGCACCCAGAGCACATTAGTTATGGCACTTCACAAGCATACATTTGAGAGAAAAAGAGCCAACCTACAGAAGGGATCCAAACAGCCATGGGTGTCAAAGCATAGGCAAGATAGCCAGGAGACGTTTCGGCAAGTTCCACTAAACTTACATTTTGTCAGGACCCTGGAAGGAACCTAACTGGGTCTTGGAAAACACACATATTAGAATACTAAACAATTTACTGGCTCATGCTGGTTATTACAAAAAAAAAAAAGAAAGAAAAGTCAATTACAGGATATTCTCCCCAAAAGTATCTGCTTCTAGGATAAGGTTATTAAAAAATATTTAGCGCATTAGGAGACATGAATATAGTTTATTTAAAGTATAGCTCCTTTGATCAATGTTTTCAGTTAAAAAGCGTTATAATGAATTATGTATAAATATTCAGACGATAAGGAAGGTTTTTAAAATAAACATAAAAAATGAAATCTTGAGCTATTGAGATGCTGGAAATCACTTGGAGCTATCCACAAATTATATAAAGACCAACATATGATAAAATATTATCTGGGTTGAATAAATGAAGTTGCAATCTCTTTATCATTAATATGAGCTGGCTCATATTTGAGAGATGCTTTTTGAACATTTCAGACTTTTGACTCTTTGCCAAGGTGGACATTTTTGGAATAACATTAAGTATATCCTGGTTAGACTTGAATAACACACCCGGGACTGACCAGGGAGCCCATTCTCTTGAAATTATCTCCCATACTTATAAGACCTAGACTCAGACATTTATTAAGACCTAGAAAAAGTCTATCTTTAGAGTCAACGTATTCTGATTCGAGAGAATAGTTATTAATAAAATTCTGCCATGTTTTAAAAGAGGCTATCCTAAAAGGATATGTCGTGTAAAAGAGTAAATGGGTTGGGGTGGGGGTGGTTCAGAAAGATAAAGATGGGAGTTCCTTGACCTGGTAGTATTTATTTCACAGAATCTACTTTGTGACGTTGCATTTACTTCTGTTTTCAGAGTCATTCAATGCATTTACTTAACAGATGTATCTAACGCCTTCTAATGCGTCAGGGAGGTTTTAATTTAGTGGGGTGGTGTGGGGGGACGTCATCAAATAGCTGCAAACCATGAAAGAAAGGCTGTAAAGAGTCTGGGGCAGGGGTGGGTATGAAGCCCTTCCTGAGGAAATGGGATTTGAAGGGGTAACAATAATAAATCACATAAAAAGAAGGGGTGCTGACATGCCAGCCAGAGAACTGCTTGAACCAAAGACCTGAGAACCTGTGTTTCGCAAAGCCGGAGCACAGACTGACGTCCCAATACTGGAGCACAGAAAGTTGTGCAAGATGTGCAGGCAGTCTCGTAAGGATGGTTTCGGCAGTTCCATATTTACTCTAAGACATGGTTGACAAAGAGGTGATCTCCTGGCTAGAAGATCTGCAGACGTGTTTTTGCTTGCGCTTTTCGGCCATCATTTTTTTTTTTTTTTTAAATTTGGGCAGGGCAACATTCTTGAATTAGTTCAGAGGCCACCTATCCCCCGTCGGCCTCAGACAAATATTTGACCTCTGAGGAAAAGGAGTTTGTTAGCTTTTCTAAAGGATTGTCAGATTTTATATTTAAAACAGCACTACAGAAGAGCCGCTGGAAAGCAAACATGGTCCGAGCCTTGCACACCCAGCGAGACCTGCGCTTGTCCGCGCAGCGCAGAGGCGAAGCTGGGGAAGGCGGGGGAAGAGGAGGGGCTCGGCGCCTGCCCGCACCCACTGCGCATGACCGCATGACGCTGCCGCCCCTGTTGCCAAGGCAGCGGGAAGGCGTAGCCCGGAAGGGGAGCCTTGCTGAGCGACACCCAGAGACTGATCCCCGGTACGCTCGGGGCTCGCTAGTTCCTGAGCCAGTCTTGACCGGAACAAAGCCGATGAACACCCAAGTATGATGCAAAGGGATAGCCATCTGCACAGAGGAATTCACAAGAGCCAGGGGAACTGGCCCAAACGGACTTGAGGGCTATGGCAGACCTTTCTGAGGACACCATTCCTGATGAGGTACAGAGTTCCGGTTCATTCAGCTCCTCTGGAGGACTGCAGCCGTGGCCCCAGGCCTCTGGGAGCAAACCTGCGAGTGGAAAGCCGACCACACCCTTGGAAGACGGAGACAAACAATCTGAGCTTCCAGACTACAAAAATAATGAGGAGAAGTTCAGTAGAAAATGGATCAACTATCTCAAGGGCAAAGAAACTAACTCTGGACAGTACCAACCAGACGCTAAACTTCAGACACAAAGCACTCGGGTATCCGATGAAGAACTGAACGCCCGGCAGTCTTTTTGCGCCGTTAAGATAAGCCTGATCCATCGCAGAGCAAACTTGAAGGAGCAAAAGAGCAGCAGACAAAAAAAGCCACAGCTTAGATTGGTTGCAGAGGCTTCAGAGATAGATGCCTTAAACTGTACTGTGCCTGATGAACTTTTGAACAGAATCTACTTAAAAAACATAAGGACAGCACCAAAACAGGTGGCAACAGCTGATCAACACATTTCTTCTCAGTGCCCCAGTTGCAACAGAAAAAGAGCAGAACTGGCTCAATCGGCCTTTCTGAGACAAAAGAAGACTTTACTGGAGTCACTTCTACTCCAAGAGAAAATGGATGAACATCTTTATACCAGAGACTTTCTTACCCTTATTGGAGATGCACATCAGGGCCTCCCCAGGCTTTCAGATGATCCCAAAATAATCTGGAAAAGACTGAATGAGAAAAGTCAGATCAGAAACTCTGGTTTTGAAAGGTCAGATACAGAACAGGTGTGGCAGAATGAAAAAAGTGTTTGTCATTTACCTTTTCTCCACCACCTGTCCAAACCACTTACACTATCCAAACAGGACACAGTGTTTATTAATGATAATGTGTAATGTGGATAAATGTTTCTGTTGTGTATTTGAATAATCATCATTTTTACAGCACTTTGGAAACCAATTTAAGACTTTACTATGTTTTCTTCACAGAGGTGATGACTAAAAACTTTCCATCCAGTACATTTTTTCACATTATAGAGGGCAACATTGTAGTTGGTATACTTGCAAAGTTTTCACAATCCAGGAGAGAGATGTTGGTAGTTTAGGGTTTTGACCATACCAACAGAAAGAAGTACAGAAATGTAAGAGATGGTTAGGAGGTAATAACAGCCTTTGGTGAAATAATGGATATGGGATTTAATAAAGGGTAAATGTTAAGAATGTTACTAAGTTTCTGATTTGTGCATTTGGATGAAAGATAACATCATTAAGATAGGAATATTGGAAAAGATCTTGTTTGATGGTAGTGATTAAGAGTGTGATTATCTGGACAAAGTTTAAGGTATATTTGAGACATCCACATTGAGAGGTTGAGAAACAGTTGGTTATTTGTGGGTGCAGTCTAAAGAAAAGGTTGAGCCTAGAGATTTGAAATAAAGTTGGAGGGGTGGTGGTGGTGGAATCATTGACATCTGGTTGGGAATTGAAATAAGAGATACGGTGAGCTTTTCTAGAAGAAAGCAGAGTGAGAGAGAGGAGGGGCTATGAGCAACTCCTGAGAAATTCAGCAACTAACGGCTGGGTGGGAGAGAATAAGCCAGCAAAGGAGGTTGAGAAGAAATGATCATAGGAAACCAGGAATGTGTCATGTTACAGAGATCAAAGAAAGAATATTCCAAAAAGGATGGGTTGTCTAAGCATGCTAACTCAACAGAAAGTTCCTGTGAGATAACTTAGTTATGTGTTGGATTCTGTTGACCTTAGCATACAGAAATTGGGCAGATAGACTAAGTGGATTGAGGAGTAAATGTAAGTTAAGGAAATGAAGACTTTGAATACACTATATTCCTGGTTAAGTGCAGGAGATGGGGGGGAGGAGGTAAGCTGGAGATAGATACAGAATTGAGGAAAGAATGCTCTAAAAAGCCATTTTGTTCATAAAGATTCTATGAAAGTTTTCTGGTTCCTCTTAATTTCCATTCTGACGAAACAGTATCACCCCCTGGAGAATACCATGGTAATCTGAAAATACATTTGTTGGAAAAGTGTTAGATGCATTCTGAGAAATTTTATCTGTTATTTCCCTATAAAAACATAAATCCTAGAATTACCGACAGCATCTGGACGTCATTTTTCTACATGTCTAACACCTAAGCTGTCACAGTCAAAAAGAAATTTGTAAAAATCAGCACAAAACAGTTTTTGTATCATGTTCCAATAACACTCTTTGGAGTTTAGACCTTCATTTATGTATAAAGATACTGTTGTATCCTGTAGAATTTAGCCTATTTCCTCTTAGTCATTCCTAAATAAAATGGAAAACAAATCATTACCATTTTCATAGTAACTTTTTATTTAAAATCCACATTATGTCATTCTTTCTTTGCCATCTCAATATATTCACATTTCACAATCAAATTCAGAATAATTTCCCATTTAGAATTCCCCATTAAAGGTCATAATCCACCCCTTTAGTCAACTAAGCTAGAAATGTTAGTCATTATTTGTTCCTCCTCTTTTAACAACCCCCAAGCTAACTACTTTTCAGCAAGACCACTGGATCATTCTTTAGTATCTTCTGACCATGACTTCTCATTTCCGTCTCATTACCACTATCCTCGTCATGTCAGCCTCTCACTCCCGGCTTCCCTCCTCCCCAGTCCATTGTCTGCACAGTTGGCAGAATTATTTTTCTAACACAGAGACCTGTTCAACTTATTTCCTTGATTAAAAAAGTAGTAACTGATTTATCAGTGTTGTAGAAATAGCTCAAATTAACCAATGCCACATAGAGGTTCCTTCATATCTGGTCCCCATTTACCTATCTAATCTCATCTTCTTCTATGCCTCCCCCCCCCCCCAAACCCCCATATTTTATCCTCTACACAACTTTCGCATCTCTGAACTCTCTTGTGCTTTGTGCTGCTGTGGTCTACAAGTAACGTTTGTTTTATTCAAATTCTCTTAATTGTCTTTTATAGCTGGTGTACTCTTTAATTTTGTTTTAGTTCTTTTTTTTTTTTAATTTTTTTTTTTTTTTCAACGTTTATTTATTTTTGGGACAGAGAGAGACAGAGCATGAACGGGGGAGGGGCAGAGAGAGAGGGAGACACAGAATCGGAAACAGGCTCCAGGCTCCGAGCCATCAGCCCAGAGCCCGACGCGAGGGTCGAACTCACGGACCGCGAGATCGTGACCTGGCTGAAGTCGGACGCTTAACCAACTGCGCCACCCAGGCGCCCCTAAGTTCTTCTATTTCATTATAGTAAATAGGTAATACAGTTACGCGGTTTAAAAAATCAAAATGATGTTAAAAGGTTTTAGTATGCAGCTTTCCTACCACCCTGATCCCATCCCATCCCACTTAATTCCATGCTGTCCAGCCAGACCCTTGCCTGCCAGGGGTTAACTCTTTCCTTGCTGAATGATCAGACAACCGGGTAGCCCAGGATGAGGACAGAGGTAGAAGAAATGCAGGAATTGGGGAGCGGCCATTTACCAATCAGGACAGAGTATTTCTAGATTTTAAACAGTCGGAACTGAATTAGTGTGTATGAGCTGAATATTCATGTTAACCGTAAGTAGCCACTTACGCTAGTTTCTCATGCCTTTCAAGTGTTTATGCAAACATAAACATCAAAGATAACTTATGTACTCTCTTCTGTACCTTGTTTTCCCCCCCCCTGTTACAATGTGTGTGTGTGCGTATATATATCATAAAATTTGCTATTTTAGCCATGGCTAATTGTACCATTCAGTGGCATAATTTACATTTACAATGTTGTATAGTTTCTCATCACCCCAAACAGAAACTCCAGATCCATTAAGCAATAACCGCCCCCTCCCCCCGCCCCATTTGCTCCTTCCAGTCCCTGGTAGCTGGCCTCTAATGTACTGTGTCAATGAATTTGCTTATTCTAGACATTTCATATAAATGGAATCAAAATATTTGTTCTTCTGTGTCTGGCTTATTTTGCCACACATCGTTTTGAAGATTCACCTATATTGTAGCATGTATCAGAATTTCATTCTGTTTAAGACCGAATATTATACCGTTATATGCATATACATTAGATGTATGTTTATTCATTCATCTGCTGATGGACACTTGGGTTGTTCCCACTTTTTGGTTACTGTGAATAATGCCACTATGAGTGTTGGCATACAGATATCTGTTTGGACACCCGTTTTCAATTCTTTGGGGTCGATACCTAGAAGCAGAATGGCTGGGTCACATGGTAATTCTAACTTTTTGAAGAACTGCCAGATGGTTTCCACAGCAGTTACAGAACTTTACATTTCCACGAGCAAGGTACAAGGGTTCCAAATTTTCCATGTCTTGTTATGTTCTATTTTTTAAAAATGATAACCATGCAAGTAGGTGTGAAGAAGCGACTCATTTCACTTTGGATTTTCATTTGCCTGATGAGGTTGAGCATCTTTTCAAGTGCTTATTGGCCATATGTGCATCATCTTTGGAGAAATGTCTATTCAAAGACCTTTTTTGTTTTAATTGGGTTGACTATTTTATTGAATTGGAAGAGTTATTGATATATTCTGGATCTGAAAATCTTATCAGATATGTGAGTTGCAAATATTTTCTTCCATTCTGTGGGTTGCCTTTTCAGTCTCTTAATAGTGTTCTTTGGTGCAAAGAACTTTTGGATTTTAATGTAGTCAAATGTGTCTGTTTTTTCTTTTGTTGTTTATGCTTTTGTTGTCATATTTAAGAAAGCATTGCCAAATCTAAGGTCATGTGTATTTGTCCCTCTGTTTTCTTCTAAGTGTTCTGTGGTCTTAGGTCTTGTGTTTAGGTCTTTAACCCATTTTGAATTTTCTTACTTATGGTGTGAAGTAAGGCTTCCTTCTTCTACATGTGGATATCCAGTTTTTCCAGCACAATTATTGAAGAGACTGCTCTTTCCCCATTGAACAGTTTCAGCACTCCTGTCAAAAATCAGTTCACCATAAATTTGAGGGTTTATTCCTAGATACTAAATGCTATTCCACTGATCTGTAGGTCTCCTTATGCTGGTACCACAATGTCTCATTATTGTGCTTTGTAGTTAGTTTTGAAATCAGTACATGAGAAATCTTCTTCTCTGGTATTCTTTTTCAAGACTGTTTTGGCTATTCAGTGTCTCTTAAGAGTCCATATAAATTTTAGGATGGTTTCTTCCATTTCTGCAATAAACATCATTGGAATTTTGATGGGGATTGCATGGAATCTGTAAATTGCTTTGATAATATTGTCATCTTAACTATATTAAGTCTTCCTTCCAATCCAAGCACAAGGGATGTTTTTTCATTAATGTAGGCTTTTAATTTCTCTCAGCAGTGTTTTGTAGTTTTCAGTGTATAAGTTGTAGGATTCTTTTGTTGAATCTGTTCCTAAGCACTGTATTTTATTCCCTTGTTTGCTATTGTAAATGAAGTTTTTTCCAATCCAATTTCTTCTTGGATGTCCACTGATAGTGAATAAAACCACAATTGATTTTTTGCATGTTGATTCTGGATCCTGAAAATTTGTTTCAGTTCACTTATTGGCTCTAACAGGTTTTTGGTTTTTTTTTAGTGGATTATTTAGAGTTTCCTAGCTATAAGATTATGTCATCTGTGAACAGAGGTAATTTTACTTTTTCCTTCCAATTTGGATATTTTTTTTTCTTTTTCTTTTTTGCTTAATTTGGTTCTCACTTCTAGTACTATAATGAATACCAGTGGTGAAAACAGACATCCTCATCTTGTCCCTGGTGGTTTTTTGTTTTTGTTTTTTTTTAATTGTTTTAATGTTTGTTTATTTTTGAGAGACAGAGATAGAGTGTGAGCAGGGAGATGCAGAGAGATAGAGGGAGACATAGAATCCAAAGCAGGCTCCAGACTGAGCTGTCAGCACA